TTTTTTTAAATTTATTTATTTTGAGAGAGAGTCTTGCTCTTTCACTTCAGGCTGGAGGAAAGTGGCATGATCCCGGCTCACTGCAGCCTCTGCCTCTTGGGTTCAAGTGATTCTTCTGCCTCATTGTAGAGATAGGGTTTCACGTGTCAGCCAGGCTGGTCTGAAACTTCTGACCTCAGGTGATCCACCTGCCTTGGCCTCCCAAAGTGCTGGGATTACAAGCATGAGCCACAGTGACTGACCAGAAATTTTTAAAAACCCACATCTAACATCTTACTTGGCGGTGAGAGGCTGAAAACTTTTCCTCTAAAATTAAGGAGGCAAGCATACTAGATGAAATAAGCCAGTTACAAAAGGATAAATATTGTGTGATTCTAATGAAATAGTCAAATGCATAGAAACAAACTAAAATGGTGGTTATCAGGGCCAAAGGCCAGTGGAGAAAGGAAAGTTGTTTAATGAACTTAGAGTTTCAAATTTGCAATTAAGAAACATTCACAACAATGTAAATATTTTTTACATTGTATTCATTAAATTGTATACACTTAAAATGGTTAAAACAGAAAATCATGGAGTTTTTTCCACAATAAAATCAATCAGACTGCTAGTGTCTATGCACAATTTTTTATGTAGTAGGTTTCTTGGTTAGCCCAAGATTTTAGAAATCTAACAAGATTCCAGTAAGCTGATGCTGATTTTGCCCAGTTTCAAAAACCACTGCTCCAAAATATCATGCCATTAAGATACTGGCCATAATGCTTTTCTTTACAAAAATCTTAGCATTTCTGAGAAATTAAAAAATAATAATTGACACTGCCAGAAAACCAGTCAGTAAAGTATCTTAGGTGGAATCACAAGCCTGATCAAGTGTGTTTTTTGGTTTTCTAATATAACTAAGTTATTGAGATGCCATGATCTTGTCTGGCTTACGGCTCTGCCAGTGACATTCACCATATACATATTAACATTTTAGTTGTTTTAATTATTTACTGTTTGAACTACCAAACACATATTCCTACAGAGTATGAAGAACAGTAGAATATTTATCAAAGATATTTTGCAACTAAAGAGAGGTGATGGAAACATAACTGTATGAATGTGCTAAATGTGATTTAAGATAGTGACTTTTATCATTTGAAGTTTACTTCCACAAACATTTATGAGCCTGGGTCTTCTTTATTATTATCTGTTTGTTTTTGACTCCTGGTTAACTTCTACCAAGCTCTTAATTTTTGCCATAATAACTATCCCACAGTAGTTTGTGTATATTAAAGATCTCCAAACTGAATACAAAAGAGTAACACGTAAATGTATAACTAAGGCAGGTTTTTTTGCTGTGGAGTAAGTGCCCTTTAAAAACTGCTTATGCCTATAATTGCACCATTTTGGGAGGCTGAGGTGGGGGGATTCTTTGAACTCTTTGAGACCACCCTGAGCAACATAATGAGACCCAACCCTATCTTTATAAAAACCATTCTCAGCAAACTGACACAAGAACAGAAAATCAAACACCTCATGTTCTCACTCATAGGTGGGTGTTGAACAATAAGAACATGTGGAAACAGAGGGCAGCATCACACACTGGGGTCAATTGTGGTGAGGGAGGGTGGGAAGGGTAACATGGGGAGAAATGTCAGATATAGGTGATGGGGAAGATGGAGGCGGCAAACCACCTTGCCGTGAATGTACCTATGCAACAATCTTGCATGATCTGCTACCTGTGCCCCAGAATCTAAAGAATAAAAAAATTAACAAAAATAAAAAATTAGCCAGGCATGATGGTACATGCCTCTGTAGTAATCCCAGCTACTGCAGAGGTAGGAGGACTGCTTGAACCCAAGAACTGAAGGCTGCAGTGAGCTGAGATCAAACCACTGCATTCCAGCCTGGGCAACAGAGTGAGACTCTTGTTGTTAAAACAAAAACAGGCCAGGTGTGGTGGTTCACACCTATAATCCCAGCACTTTGGGAGGCCAACGTGGGCAGATCACGAGGTCAAGAGATCGAGACCCTCCTGGCCAACATGGTGAAACCCCAACTCTACTAAAAATACAAAAATTAGCTGAGTATGGTGGCATGCGCCTCTCGTCCCAGCCACTGGGGAGTCTGAGGCAGAAGAATCACTTGAACCCAGGAGGTGGAGGTTGCAGTGGGCCGAGATTGTGCCACTGCACTCCCGCCTGGCGACAGAGCAAGACTCAGTCTCAAAATAAAAAAACAAAAACAAAACAAAAAAATACCAAAACTTTATGGAAGGAAAATTTATCTCAGCAAGTGGCATGCTAACGAAACAACCTTTCATGAAGAAAAAAATGAAAAGTTCAGTTTTAAGAACACATTGATCAAAGGACTCATCACTTGGCAGAACTACTCTGAAATACTACTTATAAATTCGTAAGATTACCAATATTTACATAAAAAGCATTTTGCATTCCACTGATGTATAGAATGAACTAAGTGGGGAAAGAAAAAATAGTTCACTATATTTTATGTATATTAAAACTGCATGTTTTAAAAGAAAAAGAGTATTGGTATTATATACAACTAAACATTTATTAACAGCAAAATATTCTCATTTTTATTTTTGCACATTATTCTCAAGTACACATTTACAATAGTATCATACTTTCTATATGAATTCTTCATAGTATTTTACAATGTGTACAGAGGAAGTAACATACAATATTTAATAGGCTATTTTCAACCAAACAATAATTTATGTTCTTTTAAGATTTTGCACCTCTTTAAAACTTTCAACTTCAACATCCACTTTTTTAGCTTTGCTAATCAAATTAAGAATTAAAACCAGCCTGCAACTAATAACAGTAAATAACGTTAAGCACAATTTCATTTTTTCTTTATACAAATGTTCTATCACATTTACTTGACCAAATGCACAATTACCTTTAAAAGGTTTCAATACTTTGGTTAAAAACAAAACAACTGTGTATGACTCCAGACTATGTGAAAAATATGAAGTATGTAAAGTGTTGTGTTCTTTAGCTTTCTGTTTATTTAAAAAATATAAATAGCTATGTCTTAAAGAATGTTTTAATACTTCTTTTTATATTACTTCAGAGAGAAAACAAATTGGAAAGACACTTAGGGATTTTCAAACAGAAACTGAAGTTTTCAAGAACAGAATAATGAAGGATAGGAAAAATCAGGCAGAGACATATATGAGGGCTAAGAAGGCCAAACAGGTTTTCCAAATCCATTACATGGTTTTGGTTGGTACTAGGTTTAAACTTAAATATGACTAAAGCTCTTTAGAAATAGATCAAATAAACATTTCAGAGGCTGTCAATCACCAAATATTTCTATTTCCTAATCCTATAAATATTTTTTGAATTGGTGGTACAGAAAAAGGTCAAAGTAAAAACCTGACAGCAAAAGTTGAATGCAGCGCCACCATACTAAGGCCAGAAGGTAGCTGTAATGTGGGTTAAAAAAATTCTAATCCCCTAAAATATTCCAAATTCATATGTACTAACAGCCAACTTATAGAAACTAAAAATGTATTTTCTGTTCTCCAAAACTCCTAGTAACCAAATTCTTTTTAATTATATGAATTCATTTTATGTTATATCCATACATACAAGTTATTAACTGCTTAAAACATGTCAACGTGTTTAAGGCTCAAATAAACAATAAAATTTGAAAAGTGATATATATTCCAAATAAGGCCGTGGATTTTCATCATGTACTTTTTTCTTCTAATCAAAATTAATTTGACTGTTGTCTTTTTAAAACTTTACTGGATGTAAAATAAAAAAGCAGGATATACCTGCTAGGTTGGAATTAGCTCTCATTCTGCAACACAGTACCATCGCTTTCCCTTAGTCCTCCTTACTTTGCAAAGAGAGAGTTCCTTCAGGGGATTCTCAAAAAAACCTGAGAAACCTATGTCTGAAATAGTTTTCCAGAAAAATTTACGATATGAAGCTGAAGTTGTATGAAAACATTCTTTCTAGAAATATCTTACCTTCCATTTTTATTTATCAAAGATTATTTGAAGAGAAGATTTTCACTCTTTCTAATGTACTTCTTTTCCTTTTAATTCTCCACCTGAAATTTAGTAACTCTGAAAAGCAAGTTACAAAATAGTCTCATACATCCCTAGATATTTCAGGATATAAATTTTCATCCTAAGTTTAAAGTTTGTGGTTGTGTGTGTAAATATGTGATAAGCAACAAAGGCGCACATACAAGATTTAGAGTTACACACCAAGTTTCAAAAAATCCTGAGTGCACAATTTGCCTCTAAAAGACTCCAAAATTCAGTCTGCAGTTTCATGTGTTAGAACACAATACAAGACAAAACAGTACAAATAGAAAATAAAAGACAAAAGTAAAACTTTGCAATAATACTTTCTAAAAGTTTGCTGTGCTGACAAAAGATGTAAACAATATTAACAAGAAACCCAAGGGAAGTACATTTTGCCTGCCAAACAAATGAGATTTAAACATAAACATTGTCCATATCCTATATTAATCAATGCTAGAAGCTGAAATGTAAAATTTCATGGTCATGTAATCTAAAAATATTAAGCAATTTATTTCCATGTTTTGATAATTAGGCTTGACAGTAAAATCTCCCATTTATGCTAGCAGATCTTCAATGTGACAAGTGTGTGGGAAGACATGGGTCAAAATGTCACTTTTATAGTTACCAATCTTGTCTTAGAACAAGTACCATCAACATCAATAAATACGTAAATAAACAGTAAAGCTTCTAAGACTGAAAATTGAGTATGGAATCTCAAATTATTTCATTGAAAGCAACTTGATTGTTGCTGCTTTTCCTCATCTATTAAAGAAACTGAATAGGATTCAGGACACCCTATTGAATAAAATGTAAAGAAAAGTAGACTAGAAGCAATAATTCTATTTTTACACAGCATAAATCAATGTATAGTAATGGATGTGAACAAGACTGGCTTTAAAAAATGAATTTTCTGCTTCAAAGCCAACATCTTTGCAAGTTTGCAGACATATTGTTAGGACAGGCCAACTTCTTTATGATGTCGCATTATGTGCTGGTTCTTTTCTGAAGGTCTTCGGAAGCCTTTCTTGCAGTACTCACACCGATGAGGATAGTCTTTTGTATGAATAGAAATAACGTGCCGTTTAAAGCCTGAGGCATCTGTAGTGCTATACTCACAGTACTCACACTGATACACTTTCCTGCCACTGTGTGTCTTCATATGCTTTTTAAGCTCATTCTGTTGCCTAAATCCCTTTCTACATCTCTTACATCTAAATGGAAGATCCTTTGTGTGAACTGAGAGAATATGGCGACTTAGAACAAATGGGTCTGCAATCTTAAAGTCACAATGTCTACATTGGTGCATTTTTTTACCTTTGTGGACAGCCACGTGTTTCTTGAGTTCTGAAGGCCTGTGAAAGCCTTTGTCACACATCTCACACTTATGAGGATAGTCTTTTGTATGAACTGAAATTACATGTCGTTTCAAGTCACTTGAGTTTGAACTCTTGTGGTCACAATGCAAACACTGGTGTGTTTTGCTTTCTTGGTGGACAAGGGTATGTTGCTGCACTTCTTTGGTATCCGAGAAAGTCAGAAGACAAATGTCACACTTGAATGGCATGTCTTTACTATGCTTTGTTTTTATATGTGTTTTCAAGTTAGAGGAGTCTGCAGACCTATATTCACAGTATTGGCATTGGTACGGCTTCTCCCCGGTATGTATTCGCATGTGCTTTTTGAGTTCTGATGGGTGACGGAAACCTTTACCACACTCCACACAAATATGAGGAAAGTTCTTGCTGTGGACTGCCAAAAGGTGGCGATTCAATAACCC